GGAAAGCTCTGCATGGGTGACACCAGATGATTGTTTGCCTCACTCAGTATTTCCATTGTGAATATTATCACATAAATAAAAATAATTTGATACTGTTGGACTAAAACTCACATATGTAATGTTGAAAAGGAAGAAAATAATAGATATTAAGTCACCTTTAGATTAAGAGTAAATTAGAAATGGAAAGCCACACTACAGGACATTTGGACAATTTCAGTCAATGGGCTGTTTTTTTTAAAAAACATTCATAGTAAGTTTATCTATAGAAGGATACTACTATTTGAATTGTATATTTATATACATGTACAAATATTAAATGTACAAATGATTTTTATTTTGGATTAGTGGAGTTGTGTCGGGAAATATTTCAAAATAAGCACATTCAAGAATTTTAAACTAAGGAAAAAGGATTCTAGAACTTTCTGTGAGTGTTCTGACTTTTCCAGGGGTAATATAGCGCCACTAGCGCCACCACTGTCACTATTTGCATGTGACTTCTTTGGATCATCATGGTATCCAGTTGTTGCAGACTTATTAGTTCTGGTTGTCATAATTCACACATGAACATGATCTTTGTTAGTCGGGCAGATTTTGTATCTTCGTGGTGTCAGCTGTGCTGCTGCCATCAACACCTTTGTTTCTAGATGTTTGAGATCAGCCTGTTTTTCCAGTGTAGTCCTGTTTCTCTGACTGTGAATGGCTGGATGTGCTCTCTTCATCCTCTGACATGGAAGCTTGCTGTGTTTCCTGTCTATTGATGTGTTTGCCTTTTACAGTTGCTTTTTGTATCTCTGCTTCTGTCTCCTTGAACCCCAGTCGGCTTCAGCAAATGGCCACTCACATTGAGCCTGGAGGTTTCTTCCTGTTAATAGGGAGTTTTTCCTCTCCACTGTCGCTACAAGCATGCTTAGTGTGAGGGAATGCATTCGAGTCAGTAAGCTAATGCAATCAACTGGTTTTCCTTAGATAGAAAACTTTGAATCAATTTGACTGTATGATCTAGTGAACTGTAAAGTTCCTTGAGATGAGACGTCTTGTGAATTGGCGCTATAGAAATAAATTAAATCGAATTGTATTGTGGGCCTCACTACTTCAATGATAATAGTTTATTGTTGGGGGGTCTTTTTAATCAACTTCTCCTGTGTGATGTGAAAAGCTCCTTTGAGGCCCC